GAACTCTGTACCTAGAGATCAGTAGTCTTCTATCTGCGCCATTGTACCACACGAGCTTACACAAATAGATATACATTTTTCATTCTCTTCTTGTTATTATGGATAGAAATAACACTAAATTTGAAATAACTAATTAACAATAATAAGCGTTTCTCACCATGATGGAAGCATTTATTAGACTTGGGTCTAGAACATGAAATGCTGGAAATTTAATTTCTTAAAATTTTTCTACTGGTGTTGGGTCTCTAAAAGTTGGTCTTCAGACTAAAAAGTGGTGTTTTGTGCTTTTTATCCTGAAGATCTAATAGTACAAAGCTGAGTCTGGCAGATAAAATTTAGAAAACTAAATTTGCTACACATTCTGTTCCAAACTCAAACTTGGGAAGTACTTTGTTCGTGGTGGGAAACTGAAAATTAGCTTTAAAAAAGTGGTTTTCCCGAATTTTCACTGTGAAGGAGATATTTTCCAAACTTGTGCCTAGAAGATAAAATTTAGAAAATTAAATTTCCTCAGTTCTATCTGTTAGGCTCAGCTTTGTACAACTTGAGCTTCACGGTGCAAAATGATAACTACTGTTTCTCCTCATTTAGAACAAGATGATTTCTCACTAGTTACATCTAGCTGGAAATCGCCTTACACTAGATGCATCCTTCGATTTTAACGATAGGATGGAATGGAATTGACTTAAACCGGTGTTCAAGCCGATGAATCGATCGATATATCCCACGATGCATCGCCCAATACATTGTACGATGTATCGGCAGCTTTGTCGGGCGATTTCACGCGTGTCTCATCTGCAGCCGATATACAACTAGATTCATCTTCCGATATATTGCCCGATGAATCGGGTTAAAATCGTTACTAGATACGTAACTAGATACATCTAGAAAAGAATCTGCTGTATCTAGATGTATCGGCCGATAACCCGATTCAACTTTTTCTCTTTTTTACGCATCTAGAAGTATCGCGTTTTGTATCTAGTATATCTAGCTGCATCGGGCGATACTCGATACATTTTTCATGCTTGGGTTGTGAGTATTCGAAGTAAATGTTATCGGTTACGACAGTACCGAAGGTTTGATAATCAACTAATTTTAATGTCATTTATTCATGTTATTCAATATTTCGTGTTATCATTGTACAGTGGGGTATAGGCGGAGATTTGGCTCAAAATCGTAAGTACGCTTTTTTGAGATTCGAATACCGTCATATATATTTTGGCTAATGACCGATTTAATGATGAAAAATTTTTTTTCTAAGAGTTTTCCTTGTTCAGAAAATTAGTAAAGAAAATCCACGTACTAATTAGCGTGTCTATGAAATGTTGATCGCGTATTTCGAACAAAGCAATCGAAAACACTTCCTTTTGATATTTTCGGGAGCAGAAAAATGCCAGCTATCTGATGCTGAAAAAAGTTTTGCTTTATGCTAAAAAGTATGGATAAAAATTCCATACTTTTTCCTAGAAAATTCCTTTTCCGCGCTACGTTACCAGTGTAATCGACTTCCTAAAGTTTCCTAAACTCTGATAGCGTTCAAATTTACTATTCCCACATTGTTTGTTGATAATAATCTCATAAATGAAAAGATTAATTGTATGAGTTCAACAATCATTATTTTAAAACTTTTATTTAAAACAGAAGCTTTCGATTACAACTGTAATCATAGTCAGCTACATTTATGTAGCTGTACATTAAATGTAGTTGACGATGACGATGATTGCATCGAAAGCTCCTGTTTTAAATAAAAGTTTTAAAATAATGATTGTTGAACTCATACAATTAATCTTTTCGTTCAAATTTACATCAAACGTTCATCTCGGTGGCTTGCATCTGTAGTGCATGCGATTTTTTGACTAGACGGAGATATAGGTTGTTAAAAAAGCCTAGTTTTTAAGGTAAAGTTGAGTTTTCTTATATCAAAAACAATTTTATCAAGACAAATTATACATATATCGGAATCAGCGTGAAAAACTACATCGAGTGATATGTCACTTATTCGATTTACAAATAAAAAATTGTTTGACAAAAATTCGTGACAGGGCCCCTCAGAAATTTTTCATCAGAAAAGAATTTTTTTCGAATTTGACTATTCTTACTTCTATTAAAATTTGACACATAAGTCAATACCAGGCGAAAATAATCATTTTTTGACTTATAAAATCGGATGTCCACCTGCTGTATGAAAAAATGTCCACTGTCTATTGCCTTTTTCGATAACAACGGTTTGTACAGGTTTATTGCTATTCGTTAGTATGAGAGTTTTAATTTTAAGTTTATGCGTAATTTACCTCATATTACATTGAATGCACATGGTTGAAACGACTTTTATATCAGTTTGATATATCTGCGTTTAAAATCGATATGAAGTTATTAAACTTGTACGTCGTCTAGAAGATGTTGAAAAGAAATAAGCACATGTTTTACATACGATACGATCACAATAAAAGATAACTTTTCTTCATCGTTATAGTTAAAAATAACAAGATACCTATGATAGATCTTTTAGACGGATAGAACATATATTCTTGTTAACATTAGCTGTATCTGCGAAAAAACAATCACTTCGCCTATTTGAAAAACTGCAATGCCTCTTTCTCAGAAACATCAATTGTAAAACCTTTGAACAAAGCGTAGTGTAGTGAAGATCACTGTAAAGAAACGAATCTGTAGTCGTTAGAAATAAACGGAAAGAATGTGCAGATGTATACTCAAATGTTACTGAATAAATATGGCTTTTTACAGTATTTCAATCTTTTGAAGTTATTTGTTCTACTCACTGTAAGGATGATCAGAAGTAACTACTCGACTACTCTATTTCAAGCCAAATGGAAATATCTGAAACTCACAGCCTGAAAACGACTCATCTATCTGGGAATTGTAGGTGAACACACCATTCAATTAAAGTATTCGAAACCCAGCTTTATCACAGTAGTATCGAGAAGCTCTACTTCTGAATGGAAACCAAACGTGCACGTTTCTAGTCATAAGTAAGCGCATTAGCGTTAGCAACCTCAAACGGGCAGCAAATATGTTGTACACCTGACAAAGATCAGTTATTCAGGTTAACCCTTTAAGGACGAATGTCCTTCCCAAGGGACATTATAATAGTTGACTTAAAAAATGTAACAAAAACCCAAATCCAAAAATGAACAGTTGTCTAGACTAAGGTAGTCTAGTAGATTATTAACTGAAAAACTAAACGCTTTTAACTGGCTTCTCAATGAAATAATTAATTTGTCAAGATTAAACATTTTTTTAAATGCAAGGTTTTATTTTGAAGGTTTAATCCCTATGTCGAGCTTTTCTTTAAAAATACCACCGGTTCAACAAAATATCGTCGGTATACCACGCCCTTAATCGACGGTAACTTATCAGACCGCGGTCTAAGAAAATACCGTACAATAATCGTTTTTATCCATTCACCATTGTATTTTGCATCCATGAAGATATAAAAGAGACAGGAAAAATTCGAGAAACTTGATTTCTTCTTCAAATTTTCTTTTAGATCAGATAGACTCGTCGAAGTTTGAACTTCGACTCGAGTCTAGTTTCGCTCGATCCTGCGCCTATCTGCGCTTACAAGTGCTCAACAATAAAAAAAACAAAGTTGAGAATTAGTTTCGAACTCTTATTCTACGTGTTCATAATAACAAAATATCAGACGGTACCGACGGTATACAGTGACATATCGCGTGGTTACCGTCGGTATACCGGACAGTATTTTCGTTTACTATGGCGGTATACCTCTCGGTAACCATCAGTATTTTGCCGGTATTAAGCACTAGATCTGTTCATAGAGCTTTATTATTGTGACTGATATTGACGAGCATTACATTCATCTATCCTGAGAGAACAGCCCGTAGGTTTCGAAGTGATCTACTGTCACGATATAACAACTAAAAAAAATGTTCCTTGCAAAGGACATTCAGTCATAAGGGCATGGAATATTGTACAAACGTACTAATATAATAATCCAAGCTTTAACATTGAAAATGAAATATGCTCTAGGAGAATGTACGGGAAACGTTTGAACTGTAACGTTCATTTAAGTGTTAGTTCAAGTAGAAATTATTTTACACAATATCTAGCTCAAAAATAACTAAATACTATATTGAAATGAATATTTCTTTTGCACAGAATATGTTCCTTCTTTGCTATTTTTTAAACAACTATAAAAATACGTGTTGATCAGTACTTTGTATGATAACAGTAAAATAAATAGAATCATCCCGATGAAAGGAATTCGTTTCTCTTCAACAAAGAAAACTCGTAAAATTCATGCCGTTAAGACCGATCTGTTATCTCTATATGGAAAAGAAGCTCATTTTTTTTGCCATAGCATGAGCATACTGAGGTCCCCATAATCTCTATTTTTGTAATCAACTTCCTCGCGTTGTCAAAAAAACGCTCGACTTTTAAGGGTTAAATCAAAGTTTTTACATTCTCAAATATCACACTGATTTACTAGCTAGAGATGCCGTTCTTCTAACATGTTTTCATCGTCGTTATCACCAAGTTACATCGGTGACAATTGTTGTAAGTAATTGATTTAGAAGTTTAGTCGAATATAACTGTTGTGCAAAAAATATATGACAAAAGACGTTAATCATCGAGGAGCATAGTTAGTTTACTCGTTGGAAACGTGGCATTGCCACGTGATCCAAAGAAAAGACATTCTATTAAATGAGTCATTTCTACTGAGATAAACTTTCTTTATATTCTAATCTCTCACTCTTTCTATTTTTATTTTCTTCTACAATGATCATGATTTATTTTCTTACTTATGTATGACTAATAGTTTAAACATGTAGCTATGTTCTATTTATTTTTACCCTTCGATCTTACGTTTTGGACTTTTTTTTCGTTTCTTTTTTAAACTTCGACCTCTCTATTTTCTCTTTCGATAAATGTAGCTATATCTAGTCATTCAGTATATTAAACAACCGTCATTCTCATCATATATTTTACATTGTGTGCTGCTCACAAACGACGACAAAATGCGTGATATTCAAACTATGAAATGTTTGTACGAAATTCCAGGTAATTTTTTCAAAATTTACTCATGAACCTTTGGATAATATCAGTGATGGTGATACTAATTTATTTGATCTTTCTTGATACAGTTTATGTGTTCATATCATCATTTTCAGTAAGACCTCAATCTTTGAACTGATACAACGTCATTTCGCGTAACTGTACTATCTGACTGCGTTATCGTTTTTAGGGAACTTCAGAATGTTATAACTTTTTGAGAAAAAGTCATTGAGACTTGCACAACCTCTCGTTAAAAAGAAAATTTAAAGTACTTCAAAACTGGAGTCAAGAAAACTGCTGCAAAGTTTTCGGTCGGACAACACCGCGAAGGAAAAAGAGAGACGCCTCATCTTGATTTTTTTCAAAATAGTACCTTCCAATTATCTGGATATATCGTCAGAAGGAGTTTGGCTAAATCCAGTTTTGAAGAACTTCGACTCTCCTTTTTAATGAGAGGTCTAGACTTTGAGTCTAGACTTCAAACATTCTGAGAAACACATGACGAATCAAGTGTTTTCTTTTTTGTAGAAAATGAGTTATTTGTTCACTGTAAAGTAAGACTCCCATGGATCGACGTGAAGAAAAGTATTTCTCTCTGAAGACATGTATCTCCATACGTGTTGACCGTAGAATAAAAACTACTAGCCCTTACTTTTCATTGAGAGTCTAGACAGTTACCCGAAGCCATCATGGGTCTGTTCCGCCCCATCCTATGGTTATTTTGAAAAGTTTCGTCTCATACCGTAGGATCTTGTAACACTCTATGGTATTTCCCTTGCAGTTACCTGTCCTATTTGATCAGAGTGATAGACTTTCTGGATACGCTGGAGACGTCGTGTACCACTGAATTATTTAGCCTACAGCTGTATATCTTGCTAAAGTTCGAACAATGTTAAACATTGTACGTTTTACACGATAAATCACAAGAAATTCTTAATTAGAAAGGATTAAGTATTCACCCATATGTTCGCTTATCTAAACTTCTGAGATAATGACTTTCAAAAAGTTTCTAACAGTTGATTATATTGTTCAACAAAACATGACGTTGTAAATACTTTACTCTTTTTTACTGGATAATTGGTGCCGACGAAAAAAAGTTTTAGTAAATGCTGAAGTTCATATCTCGGTACGAGCACAATGTTTCAAAAATATAAATTTTTGTATGGTTTCTAGTTATACAGTCATCAACTGAACAATTTCAAAATGTTTATACAAAAGCAAAAGCCTCAAGTAGATTAATTCGTTTGGCTGATTGGATTGCTTTAAAGTCATTGTCAATTGCGGTCACTGTTGCTACTCCTTTAAATCGACCGGGTATGTTGAACGTCTTCAAAGACAGCGAAATAATTTTATTACATTGTTGTTGTTTTTTATATAGTCAAAGTACTTGATGATTTTGTTGCACGTCAAATCAAACAAATTGAAACAAGATATCCAATTATAAATACGCCTACACAACAGGTATACATCAAAAATATCATTTTTCTTAATTCTCTACTGTGATTTTAAAATTGTCTACTTTTAGGTTGTTGATAAATTCAATGAGAAAACAGAACCTGTTCGTCAAGTTGTCAATCGGCTTAAAGAAGCAGTTACAACTCTGTTTAATGTTCAATTATATATGGGTGGTAAGTCAACAAAGGTTAATGATGATGATCGTTCACAACGAGAAGTACAAACAAAGTCTAAAACAAAATTTGTAAGTTCAACTGAGACAAACGGAACTGATTATCAAAGTCTTCGTGTTACGGTAACGACAAAAAATCAAGCGACACCAGATGTTCAACGTCTTCATTCAAAAGTTCAATCATCCAATAGTGAACTGATATATCCACAAATTGATCAATCAATAATAGAACCAGAAGAAGTTGCTCCTCATCATCATCAACAATTTGATACCCCTAAATCATATGATGTTCGAATGTTACATTCCAATCTTCAAGCAGCTGAACAACGTGAAATATGGCAGAATTTTCGAAAACAGGATGATGAGACAGAAGAACAACAAGACACAACAGGACCTCATTATCCACAATTAAATATTGATTCATTATAAAATTAAGAGCAGAAAATTCACTAGGATTCTAAGACTTTTCTACTCCTTTTTTTGTTCTCGTACTGTGAGTTATGCTTTAAAATAAAATAGATATTATTAATAGTGATACGAATCTGGGCGAAATCCACAAATTTTTTACGAAGATAATCTATGACACCCTTTATCATCTAGCCACTACGATAGATATATCAGTCGATAGAGAATCAACGGGTCCTAAGACACTTTTTTCACTATCATATATATATGAACTTGTAGCGCGAGAAATTCTCTATCGATTGGTATATCTATCGTAGTGGCTAGATGATAAAGGGTGTCATAGATTGTCTTAGACTTTTTGCACATAGGAGATTATTTTCCATAGACGGAAGTATTTCTAAACATACTTGACCTCAGAACGACTATTTCCGTATATGTGATATACAGAAATATAGCGCAGAAAAAGAGCTTTCGAATGACATATAATAGTTCTACTGAGGTATGAGGCCGAGAGAGACACGCTCGAAAATATGATCAATAATACGTGTCAGAAGCGATTACAGTTAATTAGACCCGATGTTTTCTGAGAGCATATCTAAGGTCTGCCGAGTGGCTAGAAATGTTCTCCTTGTTCATTCTGCATCTAACCATGTATGTGTCGATGGAATTCAAGCAGGCGCCGATTCCATCAAATAATCGCCACCGTCCGTTTTTAAAAGCTTTTTCGATCGAGTTTGTTTTGTTTTGATTAGAAATTATTACTCTTCTTCTTAACTGCAAAACCAAAACTTCAATCATGTTTTCCGTGTATTGCTTGAGCACACTGTTGGAAACGGGGAGGTTGTCAACTTTTGTAACTTCGTTCTCCAGCATACCATCTATTCTAAAAGGCTTTTTTACAGACCACAAGAAAGAGCACATTTGAAAGTATCAAACATAACTGAGTTCTCACTTTTGCTACACGTTTTAGCGAAAATAGTAGCAGAAGAAAAAGTTCAAGCCAAACATAGATTTTGAGTTTGTAAAGTTTTCATTTTTTTAGACTTTCATCTAATTGGCTTAATTGTATTGATTGAAGAATAGCTGATTGATTCACGTAGTTGTTTACTCACATTCGTACCGTTTTAGTCAAGAGAGAGAGTGTGTCTAAATTCTATTCTTTTCGTAATACTGACGGGTGAAATCTACTTGCTGTAGAGATACAATACATTTACCGTTTACCGTACAGTTACCGTAACTTATCACGGCAAAATTGAAATGATCTATGTAAATGCAAACTTCAACTGATTTATGATGAAAGAAAATTATTAAAGCGATGTTTAGTTGTAAATGAGTTCATGAGAGTTCATTATTTATGTTGAGAATTATGAAGTAAAAAGGGCCATTTTGAAAATTTTCGCTGATGTGGTTGTTGTGTACAGAGAATCTATTATTTTTTTTAATACTCTCAATCGAAAGATTAGCTCATATGTCATGAAAAGGATGTGAGAACAGGAATGTAAAACACTCATCGTGTGACCTACTCTTTGCTGTCTACTAGTAGATTCTCATCGTCCAAAGGCCGCCAAAATTAGAAGTTTCACCCGACCTGTTTATTATTTTTCTTCAAACAAGACGCACAATTATAGACGAAGGATATCCTAGGTCGACTATTTCCTAAATGGATTCTCTCCATTATCGGATCTAATTGACTCCACGATGGATCCAAGTAGAACTCGTCGACGACTAAAAAATGTACTATTTACTCTTTTCTCATGCAAAAAGTGGTATTTTTCATTAACGACTTTGTACATTAGTCCAATGACATATAGAAAGCAATATGTGAATTTTGTTGAACAGAGTTAAGGAGTTTTAATATATTAATTAGAGAAGAATTCTGTTTTAAGAGAATAAAAGTATCATCAACGTATCTAGTATAAAATAACACACCGTCCTTTTTTTAATTCAGAAGGTCTATGCATTCTGGAAAAATAAAGAACAACATTGATATTTAACTGATCGTAGGCGTACTTTTTCCTTTCATGTCGATGTTGCTTTGCAATCTTAATTTGATTTTCTTTTCTCTATGGTGTAATAAAAGAAGCGTTAAAACTGGATATAGTGGCATACCAACATACGGGAGTACAACTAAAATGTTACTAATGATTGGTGATGTAAAAAATGTTGCATCAATTGTAACAAATAATCGATAAAATGTTGGTGGACTACATGAGATACAATACCATACTACAAATAAAACGAGTTGTTTTGTTAATCTTTTCGATGGTGAACTTTTATTTCTTAATAATAAGCGACTAATTAGTATTAATGTTGCTGAAATCATTAGTGCCATTGGTAGAAAATTTGAATATGTTAACCATACAATAATCAATACTAAATCGAGATTGAAGCACGTAACACATGTTGCTGTAGGCGCACATTGTGGTATAAATATAAATAAGCAAATTACAATTAAATTTAAAACATAAAATAATGTAAAGCGAACTACTTGTTGTTTTGTTGTAGGTAATATATCAGTCTTTTCAAATAAAATAAAATGTCTTTCGATACTTAACCACGTTAATGCGTAACCAATACCAGAAACAGCAGAATAAATTGAAACTAAATGTATTTTACATAATATTGGAAATCTTTGAAGTAAATGAATAGCCTTCGAAAGTAGAAATGAAGGTGAATTATAGACAGCAACAGATAATGCATAAATTGAAATAAAATTCAAAATGTGATTAAAATATTGTTCTCTTTTACTTTGCCTTAAAAATCGAATAAAACAAATACCGGTACTCAATATACACACGACGGAAAATATTGGAAATAAAATGAAATAATATAATTCATATGTGTAGACTATAGATGAATCGAATATACTAGTATTTGATGAATTCATATTTTGAATACTAACAAATAATTCTCATTTTAAGTGCAACCTCACATATTATTCTTACCAATGAAATGAAGAAATGTTTCGTATTTATATTCACTCGTTGTGTAATTGTTAAAGTCCTGTAATTGAATCTATTTCTCCATAAGATTTTCTCATTCATTACTATAATTAACTTGAAAATAAAAGACAGAATGCACATCTCTCTGTAATTCAATAGTCTTCGAAAGAAGAAATGATGATGAATTATAGACAGCGAATACATAAAGATGCCAAAGT